CTACGAATTTCTAGGCATCAAATGATCGAAACTTAGGAATGTACTAATTTGATTTACCGAGGCGATAACAAACTTTTCATCGTCGAGAGAGACCGGTACGGGTTTGCCCGATGGGTGTCGGGATAGGTAATCAACAAACCCCATGTTTTTCCCCGGTAAAGGTTCGACGGTAAAGTCGAACGGTAGTAATTTGTCTGCCCAACGGGTGAGACGTGATTGTGCCATTTTAGTGTATTTGTCGTCTCTCAGTGCTCCTATTGAGGCTTTATGGTCTGTTAGAATTGAGAATTGTTTGCCCAGTAAATAGTTTTTAAAATGATCCAATGCCCACACTAGGCCCAGCAATTCAAGTTCATTGCTGCTATATTTTAATTCAGCAACATTTAAAAATCTGCTAGCAAACGCTACGGTTTTCCAACTCCCCCGATGGTATTGTTCGATGGACGCGCCCAGTCCCAAATGAGATGCGTCGCATTTCACTTGGGTATTCAGTTTTACATCAAAGTGATAATTCGTTACCGTGTTACAAGTTTCATTCTTAATCTTTTCAAACGCCTCTACGTGCGCTGTGGACCACTTGAATTGTTTTTTTTCTGCATTAGTTATCTAAACGGTGCTGATAAAGACGCCAAATTTGGTATAAACTTGTTGAATTGGGTAATAGATCCCATTAATGATCTTATATCTTTGATACAGCTTGGTTCTTTCAGGTTTCTAATAGCGTCAGATTTGTTTTGCATCGATTTTAAATCCCAACCATTCTATGTTGTGAGTCAAAAATGTGCACTTTTCCCATTTTGTGGCTAATCCCTTGTCGTCTAGCGTTTTTATAGGATGATAACTAGTTTTTTCTGTTCATCCTTGCTACCCACGGTAGTCATTAAGATCTCGTCAAGGTAACAATGAGTGTTTGGTAGTTTTTCCGTCAGATGGTCCATTTTGAGTTGAAATTCATTAGACATATCGCCTAGTTCATAGAATCTGGTTTAAAAACGGTAAGAGCCTGTTACTTTTCCCCCCACGATGTTGAAATTACATTAGTTACTTGCCTTTTTTGAAAGTGGCATTTGACTATATGCGTACTTTAGATCGATCGATGAGAACCAAATGTTTTTTTCGTCGTGGCCGCTAATGGTGACAGAGACGTTATCAATTAGTTCAAATAGATTCGGCATTTGATATCTATTGCGAAATATCTGTTCATTCAGTAATTTTGAGTTTAATGCTAATTTAACTGATCCGTCTCTTTTGGCAGTTATTACGATTCGCATAAAGATGTCTGTGACTAACTCAGACTCGAGCTCACCCAGCTCACAATTTTTTGCTAACTCGGATAATATTTCATGGAATTTCTCTAAAGACTCGTTCTCTTTCTGTCTCCGACCAACGAATTTAAATTTTTCGTATGTTAGACTTGTAGTGACCATGAAAGTAATTTTGAGTAATTCCCAGAATTCAGCAAAGTTAATATCCAGTATTCTTTTTCCAGGATTTTTATGTGAGAAGCATTTCTGTCCTTCTCTTCCTAGAGCCAGGTATAATTGTGATTTTAACTTCTTGTCAATATCTCCGATTTGAAGTCCGTTGAATTTTGCATTGTCTTCTGCCTTCCTCCTTCTCATTTCTTCGTTGTAATTCTGGATAGCTATTCGGTGTTGTTCTTCTTTTCCCGCCCGGCGGGATTGATCATCGGATGGTTCCGCTGGTTCTGCCATTGGGTATGCTAATTCGGTTCTTACCGGTGGGTTGATTACATCTTCAAACTCCACGGAATCTTTCGCGATGGTAGTTAGTTGGAACTTTTCCGACCACCTTTCCCAGTCGTGTTGGTTTTCACTCGATGTGTTGTTCCAAAAAAACTCTAGTCCTCGTAGGTTCGACTCGTTTGACTGCGCCATGTTAAAAAATTAGGATAAACCGTCTAAGGTTGTTAAAGGTTGAACTTAAACTAAGACTAATTTAAGACAGGTCGGGTTAAGATTCCTACAATTTGTTGTAGGCTTTTATTTAAGACTAAATAAAAGATTAAGTTAATTACGCTAAAGCTAAGAGGTAATAAAAAGGTTGAATTAAGATTAGTTTCATCAGATTGGTTCCTAATCAAAATTAGACAATGTACAATCTCTCTAAATCTACCAAAAGCCGTTGCGCTTTTGGCAGGTATTTTTAAATTAACATAAACATACATCAGCAGCTTGATATAGCTTAGAGGTTATAATGTTAGCGTAAAGTATCACCTTTGACAGTGGGTTTTTTTTTTCTTCAGACAAATTTCGACTTTTTAACTAGCCATTTTCGACGGAATTTTTTTGGTATCATTTAAAAGGTATTGCTGTCCTGAGCTTAAAATTGAAAAGATATTGCACCTGTGGTTATTTTTTGTAAAAATATGAGGGTTTAAAGGTTGCCATTTTGGCCGTTTTGACCAATTTGGGACAATTAACGCGCGATATAATTCACGCTATTAACGCGTACGCGGAGATTTAATCCGTCTTATAAATCGTTCCAAATTGGTTGAACGAAGCTTATTTGCCATAATTGATTTGTTACAAGAAACGAATTCTATCTTTTTGTACTTTATATGGCGTGTGGGGGAATGATTTTCATAAAAAATTTCAAATTTTAGAAGAAAAAAATTTTCATTTTGTTTTATTTCATTTAATTTTTTTTGTTATTATTGCTGCTCCATAAACCTTAAGAGGCAGTCGGAACATTCAGGGCTTCGCCCTGATACGAGGAGTCTTGTTGTTCCGACTTTCGATACGAAAGTAACGGAATATTTGTGCTCGGGGTGGGTTTTTTTTTCTTCAGACAAATTTCGACTTTTTAACTAGCCATTTTTGACGGAATTTTTTTATCATTCAAAAGGTATTGTTATCTTGACCTTAAATTGATAATATATCTCTCCTGTGATCATTTTTGGTAAAGTTACGGGGGCTTAAAGATTGCCATTTTGGCCATTTTGGGACAAAAACGCGTGATATAGTTCGCGCTATTAACACGTAAGCGGATATCTTATCCGTCCTAGGAATCGTTCCAAATTAGTTGAAGGAAGACTGTTTGCCTTAATTTATATGTTAATACGAGCAAATTTATCACTTTGTACTTTATATGGCGTGTGGGGTGAAATTTAAAAAAATCTTCAGTTTACTTTTTATTACTTTTGGCATCTTCAAGTTATTACTGCTCCATAGACCTTAAAAGACAGTCGGAACATTCAGGGTTTCGCCCTGATACAAGCAGTCTTGTTTTAATTTGAGTTTTTTGTAAAAATCATTGCCTCACATGCCATACAAAGTACAACGTGATAGATTTCGCTCCTAGTAACAAATTAACTACGGCAAACAGCCTGCTGCAACCAATTTGGAACGATTTCTAAGACGGACTAAATTTCGCCTACACGTTAATAGCGCGAAATTTATTGCGCGTTAATTGTCGCAAAAGAGCCAAAATGACAATATTTAAACCCCCATTATTAAAAAAAAATGATCACAGATGAAATATCTTTTCAAGTTCAAACTCAGGACATCAAAAGTTTTTGAATGATATTTAAACAAATCCATCAAAAATAGCTAGTTAAAAAGTCGAAAAAAGTTGAAATAAAAAGTCGAAAAAAATCCCACCAAGCACAAATTTTCCTTTACTTTGTTACGAAAGTCGGAACAAAAACCAGACAAACTTTGAAACTTTGGTTGCGGATAAAAACACTGGTTATAAAATTAGAATGAATTACGTGCAATCGCCTCGTTTGCAACAGCTTTTTTCTAGTCAACGTTTTCTTACTCTGAAATTTGTATTTAGCTACTATGCTTTGGCAATTTTCATTATGTAGTAAATTTTGGTAAACTTCGAAAAACAATACTTGTCCGGAATTTTGCTTTAAAAATAGGCTGTTTTCTACTTTTCCCCCACGTTTCAAATTTCTGTTTTTTCGTTTGTTTGTCTTAGTTGTTATTATGGCTGAACGCGTGATGTTACCAACTAAGTTATGAAGAACAGTAAATAGTTTGTTCACCATGAAAAATTTCATTACACCGTGACATTAGATTTTCAAAACTGAAATTCAAATGTAGAGGAAAATGGAGAAGAGCCATAAAATAATTCTCGAGTTGTTATGAACTTTTTCTTATCAGCCTCAAGTTAGATTTTTTAAGTAATAATACTTTGTTAAAGTACAAATGTTTGAAATTAACTCAATTAGCATTATATATTTTTAGCCTCAAAAATATGACAAGTCGAGAGGTAATTTTTATATGCATAGACCGAAAAAAATATATAATGCTAATTGAGTTAATTTCAAACATTTGTACTTTAACAAAGTATTAGTACTTAAAAAATCTTATTAAAACATGAGAGCTAATGGGTTTCAAAAAATTGGAAGCAAAAACTATTGCAAACGAAGTGAGCGCACGAATTATTTTGAGATTTTAAAATTGTTTCTTTTCCCATGGATCAAGTCAGCTCACAATTTTAGTTGTATTTGGTTTCAATTAAGAAACTGATGAGTTTTCATCAGTAATTGAACTTGATTTTTTCTTCTGGACGAACACGGTACCCTTGCTACCACTCCTTTTATACTTTTATAAAGTTTGCTCCAAATTTATTTATGCAACTTGGTTGGTACTCAGAACTTTTTACCGACTGATCGTAAGAAACTAATGTCAACCTCAAGCTCAAAAAATCAATGTTTATACATATGATCTATTGAGACCAAGGAAACTAAGAGTAGAATTAAGATCTAATTTTGTATACTAAGGAGTTGCACTAACATCTCCCCCGAAAACCGATAACGTGATTTATAGGCGGTGTATTATGACAAACAATATTCTACGAGTTCACCACATTGGTAAGATATCTCACTATCTACTAAACTGTGATTTAACATAAAACTGTCATAAAATCATGAAAAAGAGAAGCTTACTAGAATTTTTTTGTTCGTGCTATGTGAAAAGTTTTCAAGTAGGGAGTCAAAAATTTCACTTAAAAACAAGAAAACGTACCCAATGAAAAAACAAAGTCTGAGTAGGCTGGCGGCATTTCGAACCCCAACGACTCCACCGCAATTTGAGTTTTGAGGAAACACTCCAGCAGCAATCGTTCTTTCGGTTCCGCCCGTTGATTGAGAGTTTTCAGCCCATTTTTAGAACAAATCACACCTTGTTGGCTATTTCTGGGCGGCACATAGGGCGCCGATGATCCCATCTCACAAAGTTCCCAGAAGGACTCAAGAACAAAGTGCACTTGTTGCATAAGGTGCGTGCAGAACACTTCACACATTTCGACTAGGGCGTCTCGACTTTCGGTGTAGAACCTTGAAGAGGCAGTGTTCTTTTTGAGGTCACTCAACTCTCGAATGAAGGAGCAGAGTTTGAACCAAAGTATGGGACACTTCTGGTCATCTGAAGCAAATACGCCTTTATTTTCTTAAAGCTGGATTACAAAGTTTCGACAAATAGTCTCTATAATTTATCAAACACTTCCGTGTACGTGGTCATATTTGTAAAAATGAATAACTTATGGCAAACTTTTTAAATAACAAAAACATCAGCCATTTTGTATGTAGCGGGATTTGAGTAAAAATAAGCTCCAAATTGAATGAAAATAGCTTAAAAATACCAAATAGCGTTCTTGAAGATCAAGTATGAAAAGCACCCTTAGCTGAAACCAAGAATGGAAAGCAATCTGAGTCATATTTCTATTCATTCGTGAATTGCTTTTTGATTTTTGATCGGGGTGGAGGGGATGGTTTTTTCTTATCATTTTTTAGTCATCGTGTAATTACTCTCATTTAAACTGCCATGTAATTATTGTCATTACTGCCAAGTCTGAATTATGTTTTCATGGTCTTTAATAAAATATCACATAGACTGACTCTCATTTTTATGCACTCTTGGTCTACTCTTTACTCTGCCAGCAAAAACTTTCATATAATTTTCTTAGGTTCCGAGAAAGTAGTTTAGCTGCTTTTTGTTGCAGTCTGATTTCATTATCCTCTGAATTTCAAAAAAAGGATTTCATCTGATTAACCACTCGATCCAATCTAGCCATCTGACGTTTATTTGTGGTTCGAGTGTTGAAAACTAAAAGCTTTTCAGCACTCTACTGGACCAAAAATGCATATCTGACATTGAGCTCTGATTACAAGTCAAAAAGGCTTCCAAATTGAGAATTATACCTTTGTTATTTTTCAGAAACACCAAAGATGAACTTTTTGGTAGATATTTCCCCCTGTTTTTGGGCGGATTTCCACTAGGGTTATAAGACGAGAGATGTTTGAAGGACAGTCGCCCGTTTTTGAGTCGTTTCCAGTTGGAGTCGCTGTTGAAAATGTCGTTGAGGGTTCGTTTCGCGTTCTCGTGTTTAGCTTTGTCGATCAGCTTGGCAGTGGCAGCGAACAGTTTTTGGTTGGGACATTTCGGCCCAAAGTAATCTGCGACCTACGAGACAAATTTTTTTCTTTAATTCAAGTTATCAAAAATCAACGGATGACTATTTACTCTATGACTATTTCCATTAAAGTTCATACTGACTTATCTGAAAAGCCGTATAATAGCTTCAAGTCAACTGAAATTTTTTTCAGCAACCTGAGTCGTAGAAAAATATTTTTCTGTTTACAACTTTCAAAAGCAATTCCTTTTGATGGGCCAATTCCTAAACAGAGCAATGTTCATTTTTTTCGAAGGACCGAATGACTGAAAATCATATTAATCAATCAAAGTTCAGTTTGTTAACTAAGAAAGAAGCAAGAGAAAAAATCAGTAAGATTAGGACACTTTGGAGGATATTCAACTGGTCGAAAAGTTTCGTATATTCGGTCCTTCGGCCATGAAAACCTTCGGCTTAGTAACCTGTGGTATTCGTGTGCATGCAACAGCTACGAGTAGACTTCGTTCTTCGGAAATACTGTTTCCCACCATGTGAAATGCTGTTGGTCTCCCCCCATCCACATTGCTTCCCCCTCCCTCTCCCCCTTCTGCTCCAGCTCCACCCCCACTTGAAACTGGTTTGTTTTCTTTGTCCCGGAACAAATACTGAGCACAATCTAAACAGAAACACAGTAACAAAACAAGAGAACTGATAATTTTTCCTGCAAATGGAATGCAAATCTGACAAGAAGCAGGCAAGATGAATGCAAAATCTGGCATACTTTTGACAAATGAAAAAGCAAACTTGCAAAAGTTTTGCAAATTAAAAGCAAATCTTGCTATAATCTAGAATAGAGTAATAATAAAGCAAGAAAATTCCATTTTCTTCTAAGAAGTCTACAGCAAGATCACTGAAGTCACTGCCTTGATATTTTTTTCGGTACTTCGCAACTTTCCATTTAGCGAGAAAGTTTTGCAATCATTCATTAGCTAACCTTTATAATTATGATTGTACTCTTATGTTACTCAAAAACTTGATTTTAGTGGTAAATTTTTGCCAATGATATTCTTATTTACTTAAATCACTTTTTCTTCAATTTTTCAGGATTGAACTAGGAACTAATCTTATTTTTTTTCTTCAAAAAATAGGATGGCCAATAAATAATTGTTAACCTCTATTCGCAATGTCTCCTTCCGATGCAGAAGAAGTGTAGGGAAACATCTTCACCAAATTCTGCACCTGCTTCGGGTGGGTGCGACTAGCGAACGACTTGTAGGCCGAACAAGCGATCAATTCAGCCAAGAAGTTTGACGTCTCCATGCACTGTATGTCGTCCGCAATCAGAGTCAAAATTGGGCGTTCCAAACCATGATTTTCAGTAGTTACAGTTCCAGAGAGAGACTCCCAGCTGTCTTCCTTGTCGCTGGAATTCTTGGCATGAAAGTAGGCATAATGGAGGAGAGAGATGCGTTTCTTATCATCTGGAGTTTCGGCGAATAGCTTCAAAAATCCCGAGTTGTCCACACTCATTTGGTGCAAAGTCTGGCTGGTGAGGTCAAAAAAGAAGGTCAAA